GCTGGGGAATTCTGGGAGTTGAAGTCCACTCATCTTAAAGTGGCCAAGTTTGGACAACACTGCATTAGGCTATCCCTTTTCCTAATAAGGCATTAATCAACCAATCACATAATAATAGAAGTTCAAGATTTAGACAAACATTTTCCTCCACCCCCCCCCTTCTTCTTCTTTCTCTCCTTCTCCTTCTCCTTCTCCTTCTCCTTCTCCTTCTCCTTCTCCTTCTCCTTCTTGTTATGTTTTCTACTGATCGGGAGCCATCCATAAAACACCACCATTTTGTGATTGGCTTTTGCATTCATTCTTAACTGTCATGAGAGTCCTTGAAGCAAGGACAGTTCCCTGCTCTTGACATGTTCGGCTGATGAATTCCATTCACACAATCAATGCCTGTGTGAAAAATAGTTTGCCAGTTGATAAAAGGCAGCATTGTTCTGACAAAATATGAGCTATATGAAGCAATGCACCTGACTAAATTCTCTCTTTCATAGTTCCATGAATCCAAAACAATTTGATTGCTGTTCCACTTTATATATTTTATTGTAGGTGGCTTCTTCTTGATCTCTTCACAATATTGCAAAGGACATACATTGCAGAACCAAAAGACCTCAGTGGAGTGCACTATGGCATTTAATACCTATGTATTTGGGGGGGGGAAATTAACAAATAAGACAGTTTTGAGGGAAACAGAATTCTTCCAGCAATGGGTAGATTATTAGAGGCAATTAAAGAGGATAAAACAAGCCTGAAGGTCTACAACAAAATTGCTATCAAGATAAGCCTGAAATGGTTTAACCAAATTATTTCTGAATTCACTCTTTCTCAGGATTCTGTGCAAGTTAATATTACCCAACATTTCTGAAACTGGTTTTCGAGACATTCTCTGAAATCTTTAGCTTTCTTATATGCCCAAGCAGATTCATGCTCATGCATTTCCTTCTACCCTCCGTATTCTCCAAATCTGTTCTGCCTTTGACCACCAGAGCTGATTAAAGGGAGTACGTTTAGGGTAGCTAGCAAATATTTTTCCCTCAGCCAATGTACAAAAATGGATATCTTCTTTAGTCTGAAATCAATTTCCAGTATTCAGAGATAGAGCAATAGGGGCTCTTTCACAGCCTTTTGTTAGTAAAAATAGACTGACCACACCTTCAAATCTACTGGCTAATCAGAACCAGGTTATGATTGTTCCTCCACCATTTTTCATTAGTTTATATAGTGAACCAAATCTAGTATTAAGCTTTCTCTAATTTCCTCACAATGTACAAGCTCCACATGAAGTAACTAATTTGGAAGCATTAAGGTGATTTTTTTTTCTGATGTGCTACTTTGATATAAGCAAGATATTCTGATGTGATACATCCAATCCTTCACCACCAATTTAAAATAAACTTCCATATTGACTGTGTATGTTAGCTTTTAGTAGCCTCACTTAAACTCTTCAGGTACCCGGCCTTAGCTACTTACCTATATGCACTGTCAAATAAATCTATGTGTAATTTTCAGTTTCACTTAAATAATTCACATTTTCTTTAACATACTTAACAGATTACAGATCTCTAAGCAAAGGAAATGAAGAAATGAAATGATTGTTGTAAGGAAGTCTTCAATATTGCTCACAGTTTAGACTAAGTCCAGTTACACTCAGTGAGATTTATTTCTAAATTGACATGCTTAAGATTTTTCTGTTAACTGTTAGCTTGTCTGAAGTTATACATCTCTATGAAGCTTTATGCTCTCTACAGAATTTTTGAATTTGGGCATATATTTGGGAAAACCATATCAAATTTAATAGGCCATATTTAAACTAAACATTTTCTTGTGTTAAATCTAGTTGTGAATTACCTTAGTACATAAATGTTTTTAGAATGTTTCCTGAACTTAATGCTGGTAGGTAACAACTTTCACAGGATAAAAATTGTATGCAAAAATAATAATACAGACTTAAATAAATAAAATATTTTAATTTCATTATTCTGATACAGAATTTTTTGCATATCAACATATTTACATATGAAGTCAGATGCTTCAGAAGATTTTCAGATGTTTAAGAAATATAACAGGAAACTGGATTTCAAACTTTTATGATATTGCCAATAGTACCTATTTTTGCATGCAGCAAAATGAATTGCATCTCCCTTGGTCTGCCAAACATAGATGATGGGCTGTGTTCCAACTAGCATGTCTCAGGCCTACCTCAGCCCATCCTTGTTTGTGCTGATAAAAATATAAAGAAACTATATTTGTCTATGGAAACACTTTGGCTATTGTTAAGTATAATATCTTAATAATAAGGTTAGAAAGTATATTCTAAATTTCCTCTGGCAAACGTCATCACAATAACCAATAGGAGACTTCATTCATGAAATAAGTAACGACACAGAATTCTTCACGACCCTTCTGCTAAAAATAGATGTCATCATTTTTGAACTCTGGTAAACATTTGTATTTGCTTGGAGAAATCCGGACACAAGCCAAGTTAGGTATGCAAGGACAGCTGTGATGCATTCTCCTTCCCCAAAATGGAATCTGGAAAGAAATATTTAAAGCAAGAGTGACAATAAGAAAATTAAGCAATCTGTTGATTCAATGCTCATTAACATACTTTCCATACTTCAAGCTGCTTCACAGAGATACCAAACCAATTATTCTATCTTCTTTGTGGTGCATTATTTTCTCATGTTGATGTTAACTATTTCCATAGCATGATATTGATCACTGCGTGCATCAGTAGCAAAAGTGACCACTATTAAATTTTGAAAGCATCAGCTTAGAAGAACCAATTTAAAGTTTCATGTATATGGTAACTCCCACGTGGCCATTTCTTTAGATGAAACATTTCAGTATCTTCATCCAACCATACGTTATGGGTTGGTTTCTCATTTGTGAGAGAAGTGTCTTTGGTGCATAGCCCAAGATACTTATGTTAGTTACACATATTGTACTGTTATCTCTGTCTCTTTAAAGAAGAGACATGGACATACTGGAAAACAGGTGGTAGTAAATATGCATGCTTAATGAAGAGGTGTGAAGCAGTAAATACATACAAGAAATTCTTCTGTCTGTGTCACTAGCAATGAATAGGATAGCATATTTTTTTTAATTCATCAGTTAACAGATATATTTATGATATAATGGTGCCTTCCCCAATCTTCTGCCTTAAGGATGTGAATTCTGGGGGTGCAATCCCTACACATCCAGAAGGTACCAGGTTTGAGAAGTCTGATATCAAATTAACATTTCAAAAGCTTAAATTAACAGATTTGATCTGATTTCCAGATTGATTTAAGTCCCACTGAAATTTATGCTACAATGTATTCATGATTTTGTTCCCACTTATTTCAATGGGGATTAAGTCCAACTAACAGTTGGATTCAACTTTGAAGTTAAAGGAAGTTTTCAAAATTAAAATAAAAATATGTAACATCCTCTCACAGTCACGTTCTATGTAATATTCTTTGTATAATACTTTATATTTTTAAGTATAAGAGGAACTTTAGTCATTGTGACCATGATAATTTAGCTCAGAAAGGTGGTAATCAGGAGCACAATTACTATTACTATTCATAATAGAAATGAAAGTACTCAATTTAAAACAAGTATCCTAATGTTAGGAATAGACAACCTGATTCCTTCCAGATGTTTCAGACCATATCTTCCATGTTGTCTTGCTGACTGGGGCTTATCAGAGTTTAAATTCAATCCATCTGAAAGGCACCACATTGGCTGCCCCAGATCCAAGGAATGTGTTTCAAATGTGGTTTTTAAGTAATCTGTCTTCTCTGTCTAGAAGAACATGAGAGGCTTAATTATCTTAACAGTTTGCCTATTCAAAAGACTGATTGCTCCAAAAATCACTGTAAAGTACCTTAAAGGAGAAAAGAACAAGTAAAATTATATAATAAAATGCCGTTTATGTTCTATAATGCAGAAGACTACTTTGCCTTAGATCTTTTATAAGAATATTGTACAATATGAACAATGGTAGATAGAAAACTTCCTTAACTTTTGCAATGAGAATATTATTTTATGCAGTTTGACTTACAACTATCTATCTATCTATTTTATTCTCTGCTGTCAGTTTTAACATTATATAAGCACCAGAACATTATATAACACACTAACTTTATGACTTAGAGGATGACAGTCTTCTCCAAAGATGCCCATTGGTGTACAAATTCGAAGGCTTTGAATCCAGAGACTAACAGCACAGCACATGCCTCCACCACACTGCAGATCTCTGTCACAAGCCTTAAATGTAATACATAGATACATAGCGTTAGATACAAAAAATTACTAAAACTATTTCAGGCTGTTCCAACTATTTTCCCATATATCTAAAAACTTGTATTTTAGAGAGATGTTGCTTACATAAAGACAAAATCAGAGAGAAATAAATCTGAGCAAGCAACTATTGTAATCATTTGAGTTAACTCACATTGCCACTGCAATGTTTAATGAAGGTAGTCACTTCAGACCAGGGCACTGCTCTGCAAACGTCTTCTAGAGGAATCCTAGTGGTAATGCTGTAGAAGCTGCTGCTCCTCTAACAAAGCCAGCCACAGTCTCCATTGGTACCAGCTGGTCACTGGAAGAATGAACCAGGATGACACATGCTGTGACCCATCTATTGATGCAAGACCTAGAAATGCATTTCCCAGGATCCCTCAAAAAGTCTCTCTGTCTTGCATTCTCCAGGCATATATTTCAAATAAACGTTTACATATAACTTATTCCAGACCTACCCCTAGGGTAAAAATTAGACAAAGACTACCTTAAGTGGAAAACACACAGGTCTCCTCTAAAAGAGGTAGCTGCCATTTTATCTACCAGCTCCATAAGGTAGACCAGACTAAGAAACAGACACCATGTGGGCCTCAATCTACTTTTATTAGAACAGCTGTAGTAACAGAATTTTGCAAGTCTGAATGTGCTTCCTCTTCTCCCTCTTTTATCTTCATGTGATTTTGGGGGTACTGTCTGAGGCATTTCTGTTCTCTGTCATTACAAAAGGGTTGACTGGGGGAACTGCCTATTTTTCCCTGTCTCTTTGAAGGACTTCTGAGTGCAAGGATCATTTTGTCTGCCAGAAGGTCTGATAATTTAGTCAGACTGCCAAAACATTCTGTGTCTTTTTCATATAGTCTGCCAACAGAGAGGCTAGATATCTCTTTACCCAGAGAAATAAGCAATACAGGTAGTCCTTGACTTATGACCATTCATTCAGTGACCATTCGAAGTTATGGCAGCACTGAACAAATAGTACTTATGCCTGGTCCCCAAAGTTACAGCTGTTGCAGCACCCCCACAGTCACGTGATCAAAATTCAGGCGCTTGGCAACCCACTTGCACTTATGAACACAGGGGTGTTTCAACTCCCAGCCCACCTATCTTCCCCCCATCTCCTTGGTGGCAGCGGCATTGGGGCTGAAGTAGAGGCCCGGGGCCTTCAGCAGTCTCAACTGGCTACAACTCACCCTGTGCTGCAGCCAGCCACCCCAGCACGAAGCCCCAGCTGCCCTCACCGGCCTGCGCTCCACAGGTCCTGCCACACCCAGATGACCATCACCATCTTCCTCCCGTTGTTGATGAGGCCCACCTCACCTAGACCTACGTGAGGCAGTTGCTGGGTACACCAGGCCTTTTTCCCGATGATGCTCATGCCATTCTCCAAATGCCATTCTCATAATGCTTTGGAAGGCTTCTGAGGCCTTCTAAAACCTTGCAAGAAGGCTGAACCTGCCATTCTCCTAATTGCACATGCCATTCTCACAATGCTTCAGAAGGCCTCAGAAGCTTTCTGAAAGCTTTCAGAAACATCACAAGAACAGCGGGCATGATTTGGAGAATGGCGGGTGCAGCCTTCTCATGACATTTTAGAAGACCTCAGAAGCCTTCCAAAGCTTCATGGCCTCAGGAAGAAGGCCTGGTATGCCCAGCATCTGCCTTGCATAGGGCCAGGCTGGGTGCACTGTTACACACGCTGCTCCCAGGTTCGGCTTATGGTCACTCACTCACACGCTCACAGCCTGTTGAGGCACGCGGATCTTGT